CAGCCATTTACTTGCATAATAACATTCGCTAAAAAAGTTTAAATTTTTTTTTTATATTTTAGAATTGCAATCGCGTCTAAAGTATAAAAAATAATATATCTTAAAGCATAAAAAAAGAAAAAGCAAACATTTGATGAACATAATTTGTACTAAGAAAGATAAAATGTTATCAATGAGAAACTTTCTCTGCTAAATTCGAGTTTAATTGTTAAACTCTTTCGTCTGTTTTACATTGAGGAAAATCTGTAGTTGTTTACATAAGCAATGTGACTATCTTGTCTGTTGTGTTAGAGATAAGCTTCGGTACCAAGTTCATTGAGAATATTTTTATCAGTAATAGCCACATAAATAGGAGAGGATTAGATTAGATTCATAATTTCCTTGGCGCTTTGACAGTCAGTTGACCTTTTTATGTTTTGACAATTATTTCTGTCAAAGTCTTACATGGAAGATTAAGGATGATCGTTTTTCTTATGCAATACAGCTTTCCCTTTCTTTATACATAAATAATTTTTTCGTTTCATTTATTCGCATGTTTTTTTTTCTCTTTTTATATATTAACATATTTTAGATACATGTTTTCACGTATCTCTCCAGATGTATTTTCATACAAAATAATTTTTTCGTTTCATAGATTCAAATTTTCTCTTATTTATGTTTTCATGTATCTTTTCAGAAGAGTTTATTTGCGTAAATAATTTTTTCGTTTCATATATTCACGTATTTTTGATACATGTTTTCATGAATATTTTCATACGTGTTTTTATATATGAGTAGCATAGATTCAAATCCTGCTAACTGCATTTTAGAATATTAACGATTGAAATAGACCATCATTTAAATTTTATCTCAGCTTCGTTATAGACAAATTCTTCTTTTTATTATTATTTTTATTTTTTGGGTTTAAATTCTTTTTTAACTAAAACGCTAATTAGCAAGTTTAGTAGTAAAACCGGTTATCCTATTTTCTTTATTTCCCATGCTTCATCGAAAATGCTGTTTGAGTCTGAGCTAAAAATTTAGCTTTTTTGAAAAATACTCTAAAATATGGTTTGACTAAAGAGAAATGGGATGTTGTGCCATATAAAAATTGTGATAGCTACAGTAATTAAAAACTTGAGTAGAAATTAGAATAAATTCAATCTTCTAATTCTGTTAATGTTTCAATCAAATAGATTACTTAAAAGATTGATCATAAATTTATTATTTTTGTAGTTATCACTGTACGTATTTTGCATTAGTGCTTTGGAGTAAATTAATTCCAATTTTCGTTCAATATGGTGCTATCTGTTAAAATTTTTGAAAACGTTTTAAATAAATGAATCTAGATCAATTAAACTTTATTAAAAACTGATGAAAATTAAAAAGGTTATCGAGTATACTCCCTTCATATGTCTTCCGAAAGGAGAATAGTTTCATATAATCTCCTTGATCATAGCACGCATTTCTGAAAACGTTTCAAATAAATGAATCTCCATCAATTAAACACATGCTGTTAAAATTTTAGGAAAATTGAAAATGCTATCGAGTATACTCCCTTCATATGTCTTCAGAAAGGAGAATGGTTTCATATTATCTCCTTGATCATAGCACGCATTTAGTTTCCCAGCATTTCAGTTATTAAATATTTTAAATTAATAATTTTGTGCAACATAATAATAAGTCACATTTTCAAACTGCTCCAAAGAGCATTTTAAAAAGCCTTTTCAGTTAAAAGCACCGCAGTTTTTATGTAGGAAATAAGATGTTTCAATGAAAACTATATTTCTATATTCTTTGGTGTTATCTAAGCAAAATTCTGAAAAATTTCGAAGTATCTACTTGGAAACAACACAAAAATACCGTAATTTTGCTGTGAAAAATTGTGGTTTACGTCTTTAATACCAAAAGTGCTATAAATTCAGTTCAATACAACTAGAGGAACCGTAATATTATACGAAGGATATTTTTCTATTTTTTATACATAGAACAAATTTATTTTAAAAAACAAGTCATTTCTAAGGTCATCGCCACATTGTTTCCTTTGAAAAAAAACCTTCTTAAGGCAGGAGGGAAAAGGGAAATAATAATATTAGAAAATGAGCGTTATTTATTTATTTATATTTGCAATGCAGTGTTATTTGAATTGTCCTCATCGCTTCAGCAACATTGGAGTGAAAAAGAAGAAAATAGCGGTTTTAAAGAGTGGAAGTATATTTAGGTTGCCATCACTGCCAAGAGAGTCGTTGAAATGTCAAAACGACATGTGACATTTGTTGTTAACTCTTATATAATTCTTTTTTTAACTTTAACATTTCACAAATGGCATCGAATATTGTTTGTTATAGCATCCATTGGTAAAGATATTTATGTCCTCTTTGTCGGCATCAGTCTTACTCGTAATCAAGGAATTATAATAAGACGATCTATTTCAGCAGCAAAAAAATCTGCATTATTATTAAACAAATTATTATTTATAACGTTATAAATATCCAATGTGTTTCTTATTCATCGCCTTTCATGCAGATTTTAAGAATCGCTGTCAAAAATGAAGACATTTGCGTATATGGGATCGCAAATTATTGGGCTGTTCTGAAAATAATTTCGTTTTTCTTTTTAATGAGAATAAAAGGCAATTTTCATCGTGATTAAATATTTTATTGAATCACACTTTCAGATCCAATACCTTTTGCTATCTCTCTGACAGTAGTAGGACTTCACGTGCATCAAACTTTTGTTCTTTGCCGACAAAAAACTGATCCAAGTGATTTTTGACATCCTTATTTACTTTACTGTCTAAAATTTTGCAGAGATAGGAGCATTTCTGGACTGTTCAACGACGGTTATTAAAAATAACTCTATAACTTTGGGAGGCTTTGGGCAAAAAATTTTTATGTGGCCTTAAATGAATCTCTTACCTTAGATTTTCTCTGATTTATTGAGATACATTGTGTGTTTTTTTTTTCTTCTTCCTGAATTCTTTTTTACGTATGAACAATTTTAACTTTTTTTTTTCTCTATTATAGTTTTTTTTCTTCAAGTTTTTCGTTATCATTGAATGATATATCAGGTGTCTTTATAAAAAAAAATCCCCACTATATCAAACACAGGAGCGGGGCTTTCGATGACGCCGGGCCTATAGCTACAGCCTCGGGCCGGCTCTGGTTATATAAGAAATCGCGTTACGCGAGAAAAATATAACACGTGTCTATATAAAATGAGGAGAAAAAAGACTTAATTAAATAGATTGAATACTGAAAATTCGGAACCAAAAAAAAATTTTCCAAACTAATGTTTGATAAGTTTTATTTTCATATAAATTATATAAAAAAATATTTATATATAATTTTCTTGAATAAAATTATTCTAAATGACTGTTTTTTTTTTTTTTTTTTTTTTTTTTTTTTTTTTTTTTTTTTTTTTTTTTTTTTTTTTNACTGTTTTTTTTTTTTTTTTGTTTTTTGTTTTCTTTTTTTGCGAAGTTACGCGATGAAGTTGAACTTTATTTAAATGAAGTGAAAAAATAATACATGTTTCTTAATAAAATTATTCTAAAAAGTAGTTTCAGCTTTAAATTTATGAATACATGGAAGATTAAGGATNTAGCCTTGTAATTTTGAACCCAATGCAGAAGACAAGGGAACTCCTGGATCAAGTATTGGGAGAAATTTGCCATCGTGTATGATTTTTTTTATGAAACTTACCCGCATTTGCGTTACATGGAGAGGAAAACCACGAAGAATCCTACGGTTAGCCTGACGGCAAGGAGTTTCTAACACATGATCCGTCTACCACTGAGGATATTTATGTCAGCTCTGTGGTCGGTGCGAGTCGGGTGCAGAGTTCGTATCGCTCAGAAGATTAAAAGTTATAAAAAATATCTAAAATCTTATCTAAATTTTTTTTCAAAATTTACTTCACTGGGTGTTTTATCAATTTAATCGTTAAAAGGTGAAATTTTGAAAATATTATCAATGAATGTGCCTAAAAACATGCATAGCAAGAAGGTATTTTAGTATATAGAAATAACCCGTCATTCATTCAAAAAATAATTAAGAATTTCATTTTTCTTCGAATGTAATAGCGTCTTGGGCCATGTTTTTACTTTCACGTGTTTAATTTGGTCAAAAAACTTGAATAACATATTAAAATTTAATTTAATGTGCTTTATTAACAGCAAAAACTGTTTTTTTTCTTCCTTTTTAATTTTTGTTAATTTTAAATTATTAGTTTCCTTACTCTTCGGGATGGCTTTCTTCTGTCACCTATATTCGTTTTTTTAGAAATTGAAGTTCAATATTTTTTTTATCAAGTATAAAAATTGACGAAGACATATTTAATTAGATGTTAGGAAGAACTGTTCATAACACCTTTTCATTGATCTGTTGTGTTGTTAAAGTTATAAATTGAAAAATGTGCAAAAATACAAAATATGTAATAGTTTCTAATTATTCTCTTTTTTGTGTTTCACAAACGATTGTGTGTGTATATATATATATATATCTTATATCTTATATATATATATNCTAGTAGAAAATTATTAAACTTATTACATAATTACTTCTTTCTGAAATTATCTTAACAGTGGAATTTATTTTCTGGGTTTATTATTATTATTGTTAAAATAGGGCACTTTTTCTTCTACAAGACATACTAATTTAATTTTCTCAGTTAAATATAATACACAAGGTGATTTTTTTTGAATAATTTAAAAAATTCAAGAATTTAATCAAATAATATGAACTGTCATCGGTCCTACTACTCCAAAAGTGTATTTTAGATCAAGATCTGGAGTGCCAGAATAATGAGCCATTCCGTCAAAATGTGCTCGTAAAACGAACGAAACTTGACAAACAGAAAAACTAATTGGGCTGTGAAAATAGTACTGTCAGAAACTTTTTTACCCAAAACATTACACGTAGTACAACGTTGGCTGATCACGTGATATAACGTTTCTATGGCAACGGTGAATGCTTGCGATCAACTTAGTATACAGGAAAAAGATGCTACTTTGGAGAAAGTTTGTTCTCCATACACCTTTAATCTGGAAACGGCGCTGGGACATTTCGTCACTTACAGGCAACCAATAAGAGAAAGTGTGCCTTCAGTGCCATCTATGATCGAGCAGATAGTGACTATTCAGCAGATGAGAGAAGTAGGATCTCTGCACATTGTGACCTTTGTGGCTGTTCTAAGAGTCTGCGACCTTGTTGAAGATTTCCGTGTTTTTAAGATGTATAGTTGTGTCCGTTAGCGTGTATGCGCTCAAAACTGACAGTATTTTTTAAACGTTAAAAACTGTGGATTACTTTTGTGAATTAGATAGTAGAAACATCTTATAAGGATAACATTACCGGTACGTCCAATTTTTTTTCTTCTTTTCTTTAAAATTAAAATGTTATGTAACAAGACTCACTAAGTATCATTTGTTTTGATTTCCTAATTTTTAGAAACAAGTGAAAAATTTCTTTTCATTTGTTTCATTAAATAGCCTCCCATTTTTAGATTTTAAAAATAATTAAATTGAATGTTTTGTTTGTTTTTTTAATTTGAGAAGCGCTGCGTTTAATTGTGGAAAAGAATATTTGACAGATGGAATAAGGCTTTGCGCCTTATGTTTTATTAAACCGAAAAGAACATTAATGAACGTTGAAAATTTGTTCATTTCTTAATATGTGTTTATACATTGATTTTTTTTTTATTAATTTCGATCAAATGTTTTGAAAATCTTAAAAAAAAAATCTTATGCTCCTGTCATGCATTGGGCCTGTCATTTGTCAAACGAGAGATGGATTCAGATATTTTTTTCGTTTCTTTTGAGTGATTGTTTTTCAGTATTATATCGATTTTCTTTACTAAGAAATACTTTCCAATTTAAAATTATTGATTTCATTTTATGTATTTTTAATTTTAAAAAAAAAGGCTAACTTAGGTAATTCTTTGAAGGAAGAAATTTATTGTTACTATTATCATGAAACTCAAGAACAATTTTAAAAGATAATAATCCTTATTAAAGAGTATTTTCTAAAATTTTTTTGCTCTTAAAATAGTATTTTGATAAAGCATATTGTATTTTATTAACATCTTCATTAAAATACAATTTTTTGATAATAGAGATTTGTTTTGTAATTAGTAGATTTTTTTTCTGAAATTAGTAATTATTTTTGGAATTAGTAAAATATTTTTATTTCTTGAATAGAAAAATCTCTTCAGAATTAGAATCAGCAGTATTTCTTTGATTATACTATTTCCTTATACTAACTTTTTTTCCATATTTACCGTAGACATATTTTTTACTTTTAAACATTTTTATTACCAAAAGTTAAAAAACAAATAAAATATTAATTTATTAAATAAAATTTAATGTGCCTTCTAAATTTAGCACAATTTACGTTACTATATACTAATAAATAAATTTAGCGTAATAATCGTTACTATATAAATTACATATAATCATAAATTATTAATGAGATAACATTTTTCTTTTTTGCTTAGAAATAGAAATTCCAGCTCAACAAAGGTAAACAAAATTATAAAATCATCTGCGAAACATATTTCATTATTTTTTCATACCTAAATAGTATAATATATAATAATAAAAATAGTATAATAAATAAAATATTTAGTTATTTTCTATTCATATATTTAGTTATTATACTATTATCATTATACCTTCTCTTATACATTTTTTTAAATAATTTTTATGTTAAAAATTAACATTTCTGAAAACGTCGATTATATTCAATTCTTATATGCGTTACATATACTTTAGGTTTCTTTTTATTAAAAAAAATAATTTTGGATCTTTTTATTAAAAAAATAATAATAAAATAAATTAATCTAAAAAATAAATGTTTTAGATTAATTTGTGGTATTTCGAGAATATTTTTAAACACAATTCCATCTCCAGTCTCACATGGCAATTGGAGATGAACGATGCGGCGAAACTGTATTCCCTGCATTCCACATGGGAAACCTGATGACGTTTCACTATGTTTATGAAAGAGTAATTCAATAATTTAGGAGCTATTCTTTCCGTTAAAAAAAAAACCGGAAAGATTTGTGATTGTTAAATTGATTATTATCTTTTCCTTTGACCTTTTCATTATTCGTTTTATTTACAAATGATGTTTATTGCAATTGAAAACATTAGGTAGCATCAAACGCACCATTGAATGGTACATATGGGGGGGGGGCATAAATAATATACACTCATGTCACAAAAATCGTTTTTAATTGTTTAATTAAAAAAACAATTTACACGCATTTCTATGTTTTTCCTTTAGATTTTTTTTAAATAATTAATTTTTAAAAAAACGAAGCACGTGGAATTGTTTCTGTGAGTTTTTATTGTGTTATCTTACAAGACAATCTTAATGCGCGTTTTTTAAGGGTTTTAAAATTGTAATTTTATGTTTATTGTAACTGAAAGTATTAAATAGCATCAAACGCACCATTGAATGGTACATATGGGGGGGAGGAGGCATAAATAATATACACTCATGTCACAAAAATCGTTTTTAATTTTTTAATTAAAAAACAACGTACACGCATTTCTATGTCTTTCCTTTAGATTTATTTTTTTAAACAATTAATTTTAGAAAAACGAAGCACGTGGAATTGTTTTTATTGTGTTATCTTACATGACAATTTTAATGCGCGTGTTTTTAAGGGTTTTAAAAAATTCAAATATGATACAATAAATACAAATATGATACAATTCAAACGCGATACAATGAAGCGCAATGTTATTGCAATTGACACGGTGACGCAACTCAGTTCACTTTTTTTTAAACTAATTTCAATCATATCGCACAATTTTGAGATCAGCATCATTGTTGAATATAGTGTAGAATTATAAAAAAGTACCAAAAAAATTATTATATGTAGTTTTAATGAAATTGCTTTTCATTATAAGACAACACCACGAAAGTTATTTATTTTTATTTCAAATGCCAGGCGTTTAGCAACTAAGCCATTGGCCTTCTAGCTTCCCAGTATTTTTGTACAACAGAGTTAAAAGAATAAAATGCAGTGCATGTGTCTAAATGTTCCCAGTTCATAGTTTGTCTAGAGTTACATAAAATACGATTAGGATAATTGCTTAGTCCAACTTTAAACAAGTGAGCAAAAAGACAGTCATGTCCAGTTAAAAGACGAAACATCGTAACAGCAGAGGCTCGAGGAAAATCCAGAATAATGGAAGCCAGACACTCCCAGATTTTATCCTTTGCATAATTATTAAGCAGTAGTTTGTCTTTGTTAGATTCTAGTTTTATCATTCGTTTTGCTGAATGAAAGGCCAACAGAGCCTTTGACCTTTGGAGAGTGGTGGTACCTTTTCTGGCTAGGAAATCAGCCTTCCACTCCATTGTGAGGGGGAACCCACTGCAAAACAATAGTCCCCTACAGAGAATTTAGAAGTGATCGACAGGTATGGACACGTTTCGAGTTGCACGTTTCATTACTGGAAATAGTAGAGCAGCTTTAGAATCGGAAAGGACAATAATTTTATTAAAAATATGTCCTTTGGCAACAATCTGTTCCAGAGCCATGCAAATGTCCTCTACCTCTCCATCGAAGCTAGTGGTAATACTACTGACAGCTCTGTAAGAAGAAAAATGATCACAAAAAATACCAGCTCCCGCACCAACATCCTCATTCATCAAGGAACCACCAATGTACACATGATCCCACTGGCCATTTGGATTTCTATAATTAATACGCAACGAAAGTTGAGTATTTTGAAATATAAATTTTCACAGCGTCTCTGATATGCAGATTTGATTAAAAATAAATTCCCAAAATTACATGTCCATTGGAGACCAAGAATCATAAAAAGAATATTCATAATTTCTGCAGCATTGATATACATTCATTCGTGGAATGTTCTTGCTGTTTGGTTTATTCATGCCTGCATCATTTTCAGAGGAATTTCAAGTTCTTTAAAATCAATTATTTCAATTTTCACTCTTATGTTTACTTAAATTTTTCCGTTATTTTGCAATTTATTGCAGAGATTTTAATTTTTCGTACGCGTATCTCCGCAAATTTTGATATCTGAATAAAAAATAATTTTGTGCACTCTTATAATATTTAACTAACCACAATAATTTTTTTTGCGTTTCAAAAAGATAGTGTAAAGAAAATTAAATTATAAATTTTTGTTCTGCATGATAAATTTCATCGCAAGCATAAGCCTTAACGTAAGAACTAATATTAGATTGGATCAAGTAAATGAACATGATTAGTCAATTTATTTGTTCAGAATAGTTTAAATAAATATAAGCAAAAATAATACATAAAAATATTGAAATTGAGTTGTCTTATATCTGTATTTTATTCGATAAGAACTATGCAGTTAATAATTTGAGTTTTACAAACAATATCGTTATAGAGTATCAAAGTGATATCTTTGTAAAGCAGAATCTTTTTATTCATTTATTTATTTATTTTCAAAGTGGTACCTACAATCATGGTTTAATGGAGAATAAGACATTCTCCCTCAATTCTTATTTGGTAAAAGAAATATCGATATAAAATCTTTAAAGGTAATTTTAAGTTATCGTCTTCATTTTATTTTTTAAATTATGAAATCATGCTCTCTTATTGATGCAAAATAAAGCTCACAGCAAACTACCTAAGAAGAAAACATTGACCATACAGGGAAAAAAAAATTCTGGTAAAATTATCGTACCGTATGCTAATGACATTTCTGGTTTTAAAAAAGTAATTCTGGTTAATAAAATCAAAATATACATTATTTAGATATGGTAACGATTAACCAGAAATTCCGGTTTTCAAAATTAAAGTTCCTATTACCGCACATTTAGTAAAATATACGCTACTGGAAAATGAATTTAACGGAATAAATGGTTTTCATGATATGTTCTATGATGCCATAAAAAAATACCAAATTTTGTCAAATTTTCTCTCAAATTAAACATATTTTACCATATTAACCATAACGTTTCGGTTAAAATTACGGGTTTTTTGTATTCCCATAGAGCCAGAAACGTGGTAGTTTTGACCATACTTTTCCATCTGTATATTGATTTCTTATAAATTTTATTTTAAAAGAAATTTGCGATCGCACAGCTTTGCATATGTAAAAGCTACAACTAAAATCATAAGATATTTAATTCCAAACAGTTAAAGGTTATATTACCATACAAAAAATTTTTAATTTTCAAAATTATAGTAACTATTAGAAAATCAATAAATACAATTAAAAAAAAACTATCCGAAACATTTATTTAAATTTCTCATAAGCCATTCTCTTAGACGTTTACATATAAAATTTTACACTAAGTAGTAAGATATAGAACACATTTTTTTCTGAAAAAGACAATTTTTTACCTTTTTTCAGAGTGTTACACCAAAGTGATATTTATCAATCACGGGGATTTTTTTTCTTTGTATATGATAATTTTTGCATACATTGCGAGAAATTTTTTTTTGCTCTTATTTTTTTGTGTTATGATGTATTTCAAATGAAAGTGCTTGGTGACAGTCTTTAACTTTAGTAAAACTTGGCAAAATGTTTATCTGGTTATGACGTTTGCAAAATTGACTTAATGTCTTCAATTGTTTGTTTTTTTTTTCGTTAATTTCATTTATGTTTTCCGGCATCACTTAAACCTATTCTAAACAAATGAAAAATTTCCTACCAAAGTTCTTCTACTCATTCAACAAAGCAGGTTTCTTGAATGCAGCAATGAGGAAAAACTGACTTTACCATGATGGGCGTCGCTAAAGGAGTGAAAGTCAAAAATTTGTGCGTTTTCAGATTATGTACTTGCCTGTTTTTCCATAAAAAAAAATAAAAAATCAAGTAAGCTTAGAACAACTATTGTGCTTTTACTTCGAGTAAAACTAAATTTGGTGGCATTTCAAAACAAAAAGGTAATATTGTATCGTACATATTAAGTACAAATCAAAATAAAGTTCATATAGCAATTATATACAAATTGCAAAATTCAATGCTACCAGCCATTGACATTTCATATAGCTTCCGTGTACACTGTAAAAAATTCCGAATCAAATTACAGTATAAAGTATTGCCACTTTGTATGCAGCATCCGCAAAATCCATTTTTATCGTAAAATATTCTACCGTAATTTTTACTTAGATATTTATTTAATTAGAATGATTCCGTTATTTTACGGTAATTATTACTGTTAAAATTACGGGATATTAGATTATTTTGTTCTGCTACATGTTTTGGTAAAAATGGATTTTAGATTAAAAGAGCCGGCACTGTTAGTGCCGGTATTTTTTATCGCAATTTGATTCTTATTTTTTTCACAGGGTAAAGCAAAATTACTGATATATAGCAATTTTAAAAATTTTATTCTTAAGCAATATTACAAATTATACTACCTGGCAATATTACAAATTATGTTACTTAGTAATATTGCAAATTATACTACTGAGCAATATTATAAATTGCTAAGATATATTACAAATTATATTACTACTACTGCTATTAAGATATTGAAATAAAATATCTGTTCGCGTTGGTTGTAAAATGTCCACGTCTGCACAATACATTTAAAAGATTTGTTACTTGAAGCTAGTTCTTACATTTATGACTAGTGATATACAAGAAAATCTAAGCAAAATATAGCTCATTCTTTTGAAAATTCTAATGTATGACAAAAAAAAGCTGTTGAAATATTTTTGTTTGATACTCGCGATGACATTTATGGCTGATAACGCTGGTTTGTGATAACCTACGTCATTATAAGGAAACGAGCAAAACTGAGAGAAATACGGCACCACATTCTTAACTTTAACAAAGAAACTGTGCGAAAAACATATTAATGTAGTGATAAAGGTACGAAAATGGTCTTCGTAAAGTAAGCATATTTTAAAAAAAGATAATTGTGTCTTCCTGCATGGTGCCTTACCTGTTAAATGGGAAAAATATAAAATAAGCATTTTTAAATATAAATATTTCTTCGCAATTTTTAAGAGTATTTTTTCGATTTCTACGTATGATTTATGATATATTTGTGAACACGTTTTTTTTTTCAATATAGCTCAAATGATTGTTATTACAACATTTTTATACATTATTTATTTATTTTTTTGTGGTAATATTCATGTGGAAAAGTTTGTAGTTTTACCCTTTCAATTTTAAAGTTTTCAATTTTGTTTCAGAGATATCATGTTACATTAATAATTTTTACATTAATAAAGAGAATATGGAAAAAATTATCAAAAAATTTTTTTTTCTTAAAAAAGGCTAAAGCTTATATTATTTAATAATATACAATCAAAACCAGGCACAGATTTAAGGAACGGCATTCGGGACATGTGCCTAGAGCTCCCAACTTGTAAGGNTAAATATGAAAAGACATCTGAGGATCTTCAATCATATATATATATATGAATTTTTTTTTAACTAGTTCGGCTTTTAATTTGTAAGGGCCTCCAAATTTTTTTAGTACTGTTTCCTTCATAATTTGCATCATTCTCACCAACGATTCTTTTAATTTTAGTAGTTCTTCATGGTTTAGGCAAAGAAAATATTGAATTCTGAATGATATGCTGCATGTTGTTTGCAATGCTGCATGTTGTTTGCAATGCTGCATGTTGTTTACAATTTGCTGAAGTGTAAAAAATTATCTTTTAATTCTATAATTTAAAACTATGCATGTTAATTGTAACTTGTCGATTCTTTCAGCGAGCCTCCAATTGGCTTTGTGCCCAAGGCCCCGGGCCCTTGTCGAAACTCAAACTACACAGTAACAACAACAGGAAAAAGAAAATAAATGCAACACTTCAAAATCTCTAGGAAACTGGATTCATAAGCTTTTCAGTAAATATGCAGCTTTTTTTTAAAAAAAAATTTAAGTGATTTAGTCTAAATCACTCAAATCTAGGAGATAGTTATTCATAAAATCGTTAGAAGTGATTTTCCTAGTGATTCCTAGTGATTTTCTAGCTGCACTGCAGGTTTTTTTTTACTGTGCAACATGCAAATATTTAGTTGCATAATTTATTAACGTTGCGTTTATTAATAGTTGAAGAATTTCTTGAAAACAAGTGCTAGGTGAAGTTTTATTGAATTAAAGAACTTTAATTTTACAAAATATAGCAAAAGTCAGTTGGAAGCTCATTATTACAATATATGTAATATTATATACTATATAATTACATACTATATGTTTTTAAAATAAAAAGTGAGTTATTTAAGAACTGAAAAATAATAATAGCGTTTTGCAGTGTACATCTTTTTTCTAAAATAAGATAATAACGTGATGAACAGCAGTTTCGATCAGTTTTAGAATGTCATTTGGCGTCTTATCCCCCAAAGCTTATTATAATGAATATTAAATGTTCAAGCATAAAGTTTTACAATAAGTGTTTATTTATCACTCTTCTGTATTGTGTTTTTTTAGCACAATTTTATCCGCTACTTCTTTTTTTTATCCGACTGTTTACCATCTATGTTTCTTTGGTTTCCATGATATTTTTTGAAAACTGATTAAGAAAAATACTAACTAATTAATGTAACATTAACGAAATATTTATATATTCTTCAAACTAACCATAAATGGAAAATAGATGAATCTAATAAATAATATTTTTTAAAAAATGAAATGTATATAAATTCACCAAATCATCAAGTTTTTATTATTAATATTTTAAAATCGCACCTGTCAATAGTTTTAGCACTTTAAGAGTCATGAAATCAAAATAAAGTATATTTGTAGTTTCGATTGACAATCACCTTTTTGTTAGACATACAAAAGGTGAATTGGTTGAGTAGTTTCACAGTAGACAGTTACATAATCAAATGATTCAGCTTCATCGACTCTTAAATAGTCTGCTCTGAACGTAGTTTGCCTTTACGTGATTCTCTTATTATGTCAGTCACATAAAAAGTTCATAAAACTATTTTAATTAAGGGTGTTGTCTTCTATTGTTAATCTATACGTAAGCTAGATTCATACTGCTTTTTTTTTAATATAAGCTAAAAATAACTTTTAGACTTAACGCACAATACAGAATTTTTTTTAAAGTTTTTTTTTTATCTAAAATGTATCTAAATGTATCTCCTTTTATTTAGAAGCAAAGTTTTAAAATTTTAAATTAATATACGGTTTTAAAAACGTGCCATATATAGCATCAATTGTTCAACAAATATCTTTTTTTTTTCTCTCCTTAATTTGTTGTCTTTAAACCCTTTGACGTAGATGGGACATAGGTGTCCATTTTATATATTTTTTTCTGACACTAATTACAACTAAAAATATTTTTTGATATTTTTAAGTATAAAAAATAGTCTATTAGCTACTAAAAATTTTTTTTGAATATCGGAATTATATTTGAACTAAAATATAAAATCCAAAAAAAAAAATTAAGTTCTTTTTTTCATTTATATATATAGATTTATCAATGATTGATTTTGTAAATTCGAGAAATTTCTAAGATGAAAAACTGTTTCTCTTAGAACTTCAAATAGTGCAAATGTGGAAAATAATTGTTTGAAAGATTTTATCTTTAACGCAAAAAAGATACCTACGTTTCGTGCTGTATTTCAAAACCATAAAATATAATGAAAAAAATATGTTTAATAAAACTTTTACTTCAAAGGTTCAAAATAAGCCATATCATAACACTTTTGGACGTAAAAAATTTTTTTACAGCAATAATTTTCAATCATAAATTAAATTGCCTAATATGTTCAAATTCATACAAATGTATTCTAATATGAAAAAAAAAAAGATTAAGAGCGCGATTTTATAAATAACCGTTTTTGATATAGATTTAAAATTTTTTGTTCTTAAAAAAATATAATCTATTATTGAGATCTTTTTTGGATAACATATACTTACCGCCCTTACCGCATATAACAATATATAACACAGTATAAAACGACAACGTATAATAACAATTGCTTAGTGTAGATACCAATAAACGGTAAGATATTCAAAACTTATGTTACTATATTTATTCGAAAAATTATAATTTTCCTCTTTAATATCAGATGCTTCTAATATAGTTTTACAACACATACTACAATTTCTTAATTTTTGAAAAACGCGTGTTTAAAAATGCTCAAAAGACAGCTGCCAGTTTATAAGGAAGTGAGGAGAAATGTTTCAAAATCAAATATGAAACGATACTAGATTATTTTCTTTGGAAATTCGTGTCACACACCTTGTTTGTATGTAAATAGTAAAGTACTCAACTAATCCAAACGACTTTTTTTTCTGCACTAGTTTTATCATCTATTTATTTAATCTATTTCCTGTTAGGTTTTATCTTTTTTTTATTGTTATTATTATACAATTTCTGTCAAGTTAACCGAAACTGCATAATTTACAAATTTAAAAACCGTGCAATGATTTCTTTTTTTAACACTGAAGTTTTTTGACAATATTGTCATTTAAGAAATAATTTTACTTTTAGTTTTTTTTTTTTTTAACTTTGTATGTTTACTTTTTTTTTCTTTTTTTTTTTTTTTTTTTTTTTTTTTTTTTTTTNTTTTTTTTTTTTTTTTTTTTTTTTTTTTTTTTTTTTTTTTTTTTTTTTTTGACAAGGTTGAAAATAATTCGTAAGATGACACAGCTATTGTTAGTTTTAAATAAGGTTAAAGCAAATGCTGTCTTAGGAAAAAAACTATTAAGATTTTTTAAACAAATAATTAACTAAAGCATTGCATGCCAAAACTAAAAACCAACTATTCTTCTAAAATACACCACGTCCCATCGGAACTTTATTAAGACTAAAAAGAGGCACAATGGAATGACAAGAATTTTTTTAATAATAGAAACACAAATTCAAAATAAAAGTTAGCAATTATTTGAAAGCAATATTTATTTTTATTCTGAAAGAGGAATTGTTATAAATAATAAGAAATCTTCCTTCATATAACTTTGACTTACCTTCTTTTATTTATCTATTTTTTTTAATATTTAATTTATAAAACATAAATTTCTTTTTTCAACTCAATTCTGTATATAAAAGTAAAATTTATTAAACTGGTATTTTTTTTTTGAAAAAGCATTTATAAATTTATATACACCTATTATTTTATTTTTGTAAAATTAATTAAGTTGGCTTAAATGTTGACAATTACTTGGGTTCCTTACTAATTCTTCCGTTTTTTTCAAATCCGTTTGTCAAATATAATGACAAATTTCTGAAATCAATTTTATAATCAATTAAATATTACTTACTACTATATTTGGTAAATGTGCGGGCCAGGTTGCCGAGCGGTTAGCGTGCCTGCGGTTCAAATAGGCTGCGGGTTCGAATCCCGCTCTGGGCATGGATATTTCTCTCTCTCTCTTTGTGCTGTCCTCTGTTGTGTGTGTATGATGTGTGAATGTGACCCACCATATAAACGGGTTTGTGGCAGTGTGGCGTGGGCAATGTTGCTCGCCTCCGTGACTTTGGTTCACAGGTGCCCACTGGGTAACGCGAAATGAGCAACAATTCTGGCATAGTATAGGCAAAGATTCAAATTCAGTGCCTGCCATTGGGGAAAAAAATATTTAGTAAATGTAACTTCGCTAGAAGTGGTTTCATAAAAATAATTGCAAGATATTAATGAATGCAGAGCCTATTCTATAAAATAATATTATTAAGATTACGCGAGAACTTCTTTCCATATATATCTTTTCATACAATTACATTAATATTAATAGATTTTTTTAAGTTTTTAAGTTAATTTTTATCACGTGCCAAAAAAAAATTAGATTGTTTGTTCAGTTTGTTCATATTCACTGCGTAAAATTGCAATCGATTTTATTTTGATAATTTTGTAATCGGGGAAAAAAAAACCAAGAGAAGAAATTATATTTAAGGGAAATTTAAACAAAGTTTTTACAGTCTGATATTTTTGTTAGCGTGCAAAAAATATTTAGAGACATTTAATAAAATTATTTCAAAATATGTAACACTTAAAGAAAAATTGAAATGCATCAATTTTTTTACTAATTAAAAGCAATTTTTTCTCACTTGATTGGATCGACATTTAAGAGTTAAACATATTTCTACCGTGAGCTGAGTCTCACGGCAGAAAAAACCACCTCATGGGTATATTTTTAAAATCCTTATCAAAAACAAAAATTAATCTTTCCCATATGCGATCGTATATTATTTAAGAACAAACAAAGACGATATCGAAAAATGTTGAAATACGAGTGAGAAAAAGCGAAAGGAAAAACATTTGAACCAGTTTGATTGCATGATGAAACAATCCTTTCAACTCCTCTGTACTTCCCCCGGCAATGACACATGTTAGAATGTTTTTTGTCCTTCTTTCCAGAGTGGTGATTCGCTGGATGTATAACGGTCCCCCCATTTTTTGAGTTTATGACTACCAATAACTCCGTAGCCTTGTAATTTTGAACCCAATCCAGGAGACAAGGGAACTCCTGCAACAAGTTTTGGGGAAAATTTACCTTCTTAGAGGACTTTTTGATAGAACTAACCCGCATTTGCGTTACATGGAGAGGAAAACCAAGTAAACCTCCCACGGTTAGCCTAACGGCAAGAGGACTCTAACCCATGATCCGTTTACCACTGAGGATATTTTTCGTCAGCACTGTGGTTGTTCCACTCGAGCTGGGTACAGAATTCTTATCGACCTGTCATCGCTGGGATTCGAACCCACGGCACCTCATTGGGAGGTGAGCGTTCTATCACCTGAGCCATTCGCTAGATTGTGACTTAGTTTTTTCCCCCTCGCTGATTGTTAATTAAGAAGCATCCTTTGCATATGTAACTCTCAAAATTAAAATCTGCTTAAGCACGTGGCAGTTTTTTTTTAAAAAAATTGGAAATAATTTTTAATTAAGAATA